AATATTCATTAAATTATTATTAATTGAAGAGCACTTTTAATATTTTTATCATCTAATTGTAGATTAAGTTCAAATTAGCCCTACGAGATTATAGTTAAACATGGCAAAAAGTGATCTCACATGTTTTTGACCCGAAACTCGACCTGAAAAAACTGAGTTTTGAACAAAAGTTTTGATAACCGAACCCGAAATGACCCGCTAAAAATGGGTCAAACCCAGTCGAACTCGAACTCGACCTGACCGACCCGCTAAAGTAAGAATTTTTTAAAATTACGCACTTTACTACTCGTTTTTAGTGTATAAATTTATATTTTCAGAGAAAATTTTAATGATATTGCATAATTATCTTATTTTTTTTCAAAACTTAAGCATATTTAAATTCCTTATATTGATTTATATATCTAAAAATTACTTCAGAGTTTAAAATAAAATAATTTTATAGATTTAATAATTTTTTTGATATTTTAAATTTATTTAATAGAAAATGTAAGTATTAATGTGAATTTAAAAATTTAAAAAACTAAATCATAACCTGTTGGGTCGACCCGAACTCGATGACACTGGATCATGAACATACATTTTTCAACCCGAATTGATCCGAACCTAAAATAACCTGAACTTGAAGTGACTAAACCCGAACTCGACCTGACCGACCGATTTACCAGCTCTAATTATAGTTGTAATTTTATTCTAGCTGTCCACCCTGGCATACGCAGTAAAGTGCATATTTAAAATAGGGAGATGCTAGGGGTACACGGGTGTACCCCAAATGTACACCACCTCATTCTTTACCATTCATTTGATTTGGTTTTTATTTTTTATTTTTTTTTTGAATTTTACTTCCCTTTTTATGTGGTTATGGAGGGGGTGAGGTACATTTGGGGTACACCTTGGTGTACCCCTAGCATTTTCCTTTAGAATAAGGACCGAGCTAGGGGTACACCAATTGGTGTACCCCATATACCCCAACCCACTTCTTTTTCTCTCCCCCTCATCTTTCCATCTCGAGCAATGCTAGGGGTACACCAAATGTGTACCCCAATTGTACACCACATGCTTCTCCACCACACATCTCTATTTGATTTTTATTTTTTTAATTTTTTTTGAATCTTTTGCCAATTATTGTGGACAAGTAGGGGGTGGGGTACACCAATTGGTGTACCACACCAATTGGTGTACCCCATATACCCCAACCCACTTCTTTTTCTCTCCCCCTCATCTTTCCATCTCGAGCAATGCTAGGGGTACACCAAAAGGTGTACCCCTAGCATTTTTCTTCCATCTCACCTCTGTGCATTCTCCCTCTCTCTCATCCCATCTCTCTCTCTCTCTCGCTTTTCTTCTTTATCGGAGATCTTCCTGCCATGACTTCATCTTTCCCGTCCCACCATTTCTTGTCACCGTCCTACAAGCTGCGCCCCGTGGGGTCTCTGTCGGCCGTTGCAGCCACTAATTTCTTCTTTACTAATAGCATTGCTGCTGCTCTTTCTCGGTCTCCGCCACATATCTCTTCTTCCATAGTGGAGGAAATTGTCTGTCAAGATCTGGAGCATGGCGGCGAAGGCGTTGTAGGAAGATTTCTTAGAAGATGTGACACCGAATCAGTTCATCGGCGTCCTCGGAGCAATAGATTTTAGTAGAGATGGTGGTGCAATTTTCAGAGTACACAGACAGTAAATGTTTGTTTTAAAACAATTGCAGAATTCTAGTGTCTGTGTAACTGAATAGTGGTAATTTTTAACTTTTTTTACAATATAGAGAAGTTGTGAAATGTTCTTTATGTTCAATTACGTGGTATATTTGACGGATTTAATTTTTATACATGTTACACACACAATAAACATCTGTTTCTAATGAATTACAGACATTTATTGTCTATGTGACTGATGGTGTAAATTATCACGCAAAAATTAAGTGTGAGTAATCGGAAGGGTTGTAGGTGGAATCACCCGTAACCCGGTTTGTTATTAAAGATAATAGGAGTTATTACAAATACAAGCCGTGTAGGTTAATTAAAACATGCCTCACAAATGAGGCTTTTAAGGGTATTTATAATAATCCTAAGCACGTCAAGCACGTCTCTGATTATTCAACCGGTCAGGCAGCTGACCGGCCCACCAGGTGCACTTGAGTAAATCTTCGGGTATTGGCATCTGGTCTCCTCATCCAACCGGTCAAATAACCCGGGCTGAAAAAGACGCGTGCTGTTCGGTGAACCAACCGGGTGGTATCCTTGGGTTATTACCCATCAAGGAGTCCTCCGATTCCCGGCCCTGAGGGGACCATCAGGGGCGGGAAGCACATGCGATCATTTCCTGGAATTTGAACAGCCCAGTCGCTTTTCGGCGGGGAAATCGTCTCGGAAAACCAGCGCCAACCCAAAATATTTGAAATTTGAATTTTGAATTTTGAATTTTCAAAAAACATTGGTCCAAAGCAGGAGAATCTTCTCGAAGTCGGGTACAGAGCCGCCAATTTAACGTGCCGTTTCCTCTCCCCGAGCGGTTATGATTGCAAATCATTTCAGCCGCCACGTGTCATTTCTTCATTCGCCCGTCTGGGCGGCATCTCTCCTATATAAAGCGTCGTTCTCCTTAGAATTTCCTCACTTGCAAATCTTCAATTCAAAACCTGCCCGGCTGCTTCTACTATTTCCGAGTCCTCCGAGTCTTCTAATCGTCTCCAAGTAAGTTTCTTTCATTCCTTCTCTGAGTCATGTCAGACCGTGAGGATAGTCAGAACCCCTCCGTTCATTCTTATGGTTCTGGCGGCCGGTCTCCCACCTTTGGTTCCTCTTCTTCTTCTTCATCCTCCGACTCTGAGCACCCGGCTACTTCTCCACAGAAGAAG